CTGCATTTGATTATTTTACTGGTACACAAAATTTCGAGACACAAGGAGTACTCGCTGCAACAGCAACGACAACAGGTGCCCACGTCCGAGTGCAATGTTTCAGTGCGTGGCGGCGGCGGTGAATGCAACTTGGCAGAGAGTAGAGAAACTTTGGGTTCGAATAATGCAATGGCGATGAGCAATAAGTGTGGCACTTTAAAAAGCACGGCTACCGTCCATAGCTCAGCAGAACCAAAAAATAATTTAAATACCAAATTAGAGAAGCTGGAATATCCACGCGGTGATATCGTGTATGTGCGTTCCCTGGGACAGGGCGCATTCGGTAGAGTGTTTCAGGTAGTGTTTCTGTTAAAATAAGTTGGATAAAATTATGAAAGTTGTATATTTTTCAATTCTTTTTAGGCTAAAGCACCTGGTCTTGTACCTGGCAATGATGACTACCTGGTCGCCGTGAAGATGTTAAAGGACGACGCCAGTGATCAAATGCAAATGGATTTCGAGCGGGAGGCTTGCCTACTAGCCGAATTTGATCATCCCAATATTGTTAAACTACTCGGCGTATGTGCACTAGGTCGTCCCATGTGTTTGCTCTTCGAATTCATGTCACCTGGCGATTTGAGTGAATTTTTGCGCGCTTGTTCTCCTTACGCCACACATCAAATACAACAACGAAATCGTCAGGAATTGAATGAGGGCCATCTGCTGCAGATTGCAGCTCAAATTGCCGCCGGTATGGTCTATTTGTCAGAACGTAAATTTGTACATCGAGATTTGGCTACACGCAATTGTCTAATCAACGAACAGATGGAAGTAAAAATCGCTGATTTTGGTTTATCACATAAAATATATCTGCAGGACTACTATAAGGGTGATGAGAACGATGTTATACCGATACGTTGGATGCCGCTCGAAAGTATTTTGTATAATAAGTTTTCCATTGAATCGGATGTTTGGGCGTATGGCATTTGTTTATGGGAGATTTTCTCTTTTGCTCTTCAACCTTACTTTGGGCTGACACACGAAGAGGTGATTAAGTTTATCAAGGAAGGCAATGTACTTAGCTGTCCGGATAATACGCCATTATCGGTTTATGCTTTAATGCGGCGCTGCTGGAATCGTAAACCTAACGAACGTCCTAGTTTTGCAGAAATTAATCATTGCATACAACACAGCCTAGTGGAATATGAATGCAAGACAATGATGTAGTGTGGCAAGGGGTTAAGCAAAAAAGAAAGTGAAATGAAAAAATGTAAACGAGATTACTTACTTCCAACTGGCCATATGCATATGCAAGCAAATTTTGTATTTAAAAGTAAAAACACTTCCGTTCAAAAACACTCAGCAGTGGTTAATTTGAGAATAGTTTGAAAGTAGCAATATTTTTCTGGAAAAAAACGTATACGTACATACGTATTTGATATATTGTATTATAACAATAAGCACGACGCACAAATTAAGCAGCCATTATATTAATAAAATGCATACTTACATACTTACTAATAATATCTCAGAAATGTTGTGTTCAGGCAATAATTTTAGTAGTTCTGTGCGTTATAAATAAGTAGCTGAACTGTACAAGTTTCCTTATTTTTTTTTTTATTTTTTACAATGATTATACTCAGTAACGTATTATAAGTCAGGTTCGCAATCGAATCGTATCTAAAAAGTGGTAGCCACTAAATTAGTAACCAAAAAACATACACAACTTTTAATTTATAAAAAAAAAAATTCTTTCTCAAAGGCGTTCTAATCATCGAAAAGCAGTAGTCTGCGTTATCTTACTCAACGAATCATACTGACAATTTACTATGTACTAATGGTGATGTACTGGTGTAACTGGAATGCATACATACGTTCAAATATGGCCATCATATCTAGCGGACATATTGAGATTAATGTGAATTGATTCACCTTTACAATAAAAGATTAATTTACATAAGTACAATATTTCGCATTTATTTATTAAAAAAATAAGTTTGTATTTTGAAGATATTTACACTGTACATAATATAAAGGCGAGCATAAATACTTACATGTATACATTCATATTATCACGTATTGTAAAACAAATAACTAATAATTGTGTAATAAATAAAAGGAATACAAATTTTCGTACTAAATGTTGAAAGAAATGTATCAAGTTTAAACACATACATGTAGTTTCTTATTGAATAAAAAATGAAAAAAAAACAAAAAAAATTTTGTATGGCTATGTTATAAATTAGTAATTTGGTTTCTGTTATTTTCTGTTTTAAATCACGTTTTATAGAATTTTTTCCGTTCAATAGTAACACGGCCACAAATAGTATGGGCAATATTGACGTATGTATGGCACATATGTTGCCACACCAACTCCACCGTAGACAATAGGTCCAAAACCAGGACCCCTGCCGCGTCCAAAACCTCTACCGAATCCAGGATCAAACCCACGGCCGGGACCAAATCCTCGCCCAAAGCCACCTCTTCCCCCGCCAAATCCACCTCTTCCTCCGCCAAATCCACCTCTTCCTCCGCCAAATCCACCACGACCACCACCACCACCACCACCGTGTCCTCCGCCACCTCTAGCTTCTGCCCATTCGAAAGCACCGCACGCCAACAAAATACCGATAATCAGCAGTACTGGTAGTTTAATCATCTTGAAATTGCAACAATTCGTTTAAGACTGAATATATTAGCCATAATAAGCCGCATCTTAGGCTCAAAAAATGTTTTCTGACCAATTAATTANATATTTTCTTTCGTTCTCTCTCATTTCTTTATTAATATTCTATCATGCATACATAATATTTAGCTTTTATCAATTAGCTATGAAATGTAATATTTTGGTGGTATTCCCCCTTTAGTTGTTTAAATAATAAGTGTACCCTCGTTAACCCAAATCGCACTATTTTGCACAAATCACTGTCTATTTAATTTCTAAAATCTTCGTAGGGAATGATCATATGAGAAACAATACCACGTCCTGGGAATGCCTGAAAACCTATGACCAACCCTGGGCTCGAATTTTCACATAGGATATCGTATTACTCGTCACGTAAAAACACATTTCTCGGATTATGACATCCGTGAACGTACTTTTTATCCCATTCAGCTTATATGACTGACGTATGACGTCATTTTCTTTCGTACGGTTTTCGACCCGTGAACGGATGTTACGATTCGAGCCTAGATCTTTAAGATGATGAACCTAACGGCTTATAGCCCCAAGTAATTCGCTTCCACAGACCGGACAAATAGCCTTCACGGCTCCACACACTTTCTTCCCCTTTAACTCCATTCTGCTCTAATCCCCATGGTATGACTAACGGGATGACCAGCAGATCTGCATAAAGCTGCTGGACGGCAGCGAAATAGAAAGAGCACACACCCTATTCCCTACTATGGAGGGAACTGGTCGCACATCCAAGACAAGGCCATCTGGTTGGGGCTTTGCTATTTGCTAGCCAGAATAAGGTGGACGCTGTCCTTATAAGATTGGCACAAATCTCCAGGAATGAACAAAATTTACGCTTACAGGAGGGATAGGGTCTAGTAGAGATAGTGAAGGATAGACTGGGCCTGTTCGAGGCACGTAATGAAACCGGCATTACTGCGTTACTGATGAAAAATTGCAACATTGTTGCAACTGCCCAATTGATAATACATTGCTAGAAATTCACACAGAACGTGATACTTTAATAATTCGCGCAACACTGCGGTTGTGATTGTAACTCGAACAAGCCCACTAGCCCTAGCCTACATCCCAACAGTGTGGAGAAGATCCAGGGTAACATATATACCCATGGTAGGAATAAAGGATTACTTCTTAGCCAAATCCTTCAGACCAATTAGTTTAACTTCTTTTTTACTTAAGGCGATGAAAAAAATGATTTGTCATGAAATCTGGTCAAACACTCTGAATGTTATCTCGCTACACTGCAGCCAACACGAGTATAGGGCAGCAAGATCCAAACGACAGAAATCTAAAGTTCGTTGGACTGTGGAAAGATTTTTCTCTGTGGCGTATGACAAGAGCACTACTGGTATATAGATGCCTGGAAGCAAGGTCTTGGGCTGCAGATCTCGGTAGCCTGGGGCTCGAGACTCAACCTCGTGACTTTGAGGTGCTGCTCATTCACGAAACTACGTATTGCATGTGCGTGCATCACAGGCGTAATGTGAACCTATCCTACAGCAGAAATGGAGGTTATTCTCGACCTCACGCCACTGCATATCAGCATAGAGCAGGCAGCCAAACTATCCCAGAAAAACTTCACCAAAGGAAGAGAGAAAGTGGTATGATCTCAGAATATAGAACTGCTCACCGCTCAGCTACCCCTAACTCAATTTCCAGGGAATAATATCAGTAGAACTATCAGCTTCGAAGGGAAATTTAAAATAGAGATGGGAAATAAGGTAAGGTAGCCTCTAATTTGGTACACAGATGACATTTGTACCGGCGTCTCTGGTCCAAGATCAGAGATCGCAGTACATATGTTCCAATGAAAATATTTTTTCCCATTACATAAAGTCTACATTGGTTCTCGAGTAACAGCCCATTCAACGTTAAGCGCATCAAGGACAGCTCCAGACCGAGGAAATAGCCGCCTTTGCGGGTTGAAATCGATTAGATTAGATTAGAATATTTAGAGGGAGGCATAGGGCACCTAACCGCTGCTATCAAGAACAATCTAACGTAAAAAAGCTATATTTGGTTACAGGAACCTCGTTTATTGACGTATACACAAATGATGTATGTATGTACTTATGTTCCTGCCTGTGATGAGTACTAAAAGCTGAATGCAGTCTGACACCAGCTTTGAGGTGATTTTGTGTGCTTTCTGTGCAAGGTACGCCTCCCTATATTCCGACAATGTGACTATCCTTCCGAGGTCTTGGTAATACGAATAGAGTATTAATGGCTAAAGTGCCCTGTGATAGCTAAAGTGTCCCGTACTGCCCGTCAGGTTTATAATTCGCACCACCACCATTGGCGTTCGAGCCTATCAAACAATAACGGGAAGTGGCTCGTGGTGGATTCGGTGGCGATGGTCTAATTATTGCGTAATCTGGAGATCTTTTTCGGTGCAGATGAAGTTGTA